TTACTCCTTAATTTGCTAACATCTAAAAGCTAGATTTATATACAACCAAAGCAGTACKTATCTATAAAAAACCAAAATTTGGTCATCAAACATCTATTATAAATCCACGTTTACGTGTATAATTAAATATTTTAATGCTCGCGTTGGAAAATTATTTGATATGAATACATATGAGTTAGGTATTTAGAGTAAATGTTTCAGAGAAGTAACTGGAACTCTAGAATTCATCTCAGGTTGAGAGTGGTGAATCCATGGACTTTGATGATAAGATTGTTGAAATCAAAGCAATGGTTACACGAACACAGAAGATAGATGCTGGCATAAGACTTTGTACGTATATTTATGAGGGTTTAGAACCCTTAAAAATCTACAAATTTAGTCAATGCAAACGGTTAAATCATTCCATATGTTGCCTTCGTTTGTGAGGGTTTAGGCTCTCATACTAGATTTAGTATCTACTCAAACTAATCGTGTTAAATCACTCACTATTATATGTACATTATGAAAGTTTAAAGCTCCCATGTGAGGGTTTATAAATCTTAAATATCGACATATTTAATGAATACGAACGGTATTGATCGTTCCATATTTTGCGCTCATTTGTAAGGGTTTCGGCTCCCATACTAGGATTTATATCATTTAAATTCTCACAAATATCCATACTAAATGTATATTTGGGAGAGTTAGGCTCCCATATTAAGGTTTAAAACCCTTTAAAAATTACATATTTAGTCAACACCAATTGTTTACATCGTTTCATATTTTGTGTTCATTTGTGAGGAGTTGGGCTCCCATACTAGGGTTTAGTATCACTTAAAATCCAAATATTTAGTCAAATCGATTATTTTATATCAATTCATATTTTATGTATATTTGTGAGGGTTTAGACTCCCATATTAGGATTTAGAATAAAATCTACATATTTAGTCAATGCGGGCGAACGATTTAAATCATTCCATATTTTGCGTTCATTTGTGAGGGTGTACGCTCCCATACTAGGATTTAGTATCACTTAAAATCTACATATTTAGTCAAATCGATCGTTTTAAACCGTCCCATGTTGTATGTATATTTATTTTGAACCAAAATTGTCTCTTCTATTAACTTTCCGATGTTTTTGTTGCAGAAAAGAAGATAGGTTCTTCGTACTTGGAGACCAACATTTCAATGTTACTAAAACTCAGTTTTAAGAATGTGGAAAATAGATTTTAGGGTGAGAAGATCAATAATAGTGATTTTTTTAAACGTTTTATTTTATATTGGACTTGAAGAAGTTTGAGAATTGAAAGTTTGATCACAACTTTGGGCTTATTTATACATCAATATCATACAAAGTAATAATTTTAGGTAGAGCAATTATTAAGTTATACGAACTATTACAAGTATATTTTCTTATGTTTAAGGAGAATAATAACCAATTAGAATGCCATATACGGGGATAATACCAAAATAACTATTGTATACCTTATTAAGTCTTTCAATCTTTATACTCGCGGAGAGATTTAACAAAAAAAAATAACTATACTTTTTGAGAATTAGTCTCTAACTAATACAAATCATTATATTTAGACAATAGATTTCTAAGCAAACGATTTCTTACAATATTTATGTATTTTTGAAAAATGAATGGGTAAACAAAATATTATATTTTAATTCGTTAATAACATATTAATCTTCAAATGTCTTCTTTCAGATATAAGCAGTATTAAAGTTGGTCTTTCTTTTCGATGTGCAGGTCTCTTATATTCTGTTCTGGTGACAGCAGTACTTACCGATGCAATAAAGAATGCAGTTGGTCGACCACGCCCTGACTTCTTCTGGCGTTGTTTTCCCGATGGCAAAGCTGTATGCCTCCATGAGTTTTACTTTGGTGTTTTATATATTGTTCTGCCTCTTGAAATTTTCATTCTTTTTCTCAGCTTTATGATAGCCTCGGAGATGTTATATGCCATGGTGATAAAAGCGTCAGGGAAGGGCACAAAAGCTTCCCAAGCGGACACACCTCATGTAAGACCAACCTACTGTTTTTTTTGTCTTACACCGAAACGAAGGTTTTGGTTTAGGGTGGCTTTTACCGTTTTGTTGAGCATTTTACGCGAATGTACAGAAGAAATTTCGGGTTTTTAATGAGCAGAGCTAGGGAGAAACAAAATAGTAAATCACCGGTTTGATTTGTTTTTGCAGGCTTTGTTGCGGGTCTGGGATTTCTGTCGCTGTACTTATCTGGGAAGATACAAGCATTTGACGGTAAAGGCAACGTTGCAAAGCTATGCATTGTCATACTCCCTTTGCTATGTGCAGCTCTTGTCGGTATTTGCCGTGTAGATGACTATTGGCATCATTGGCAAGACGTATTTGCAGGAGGCTTGCTAGGTTTGTTTTCACTCCCTAACTCAAAAAGGTCATAACTTTGTTCCCTTTGAACATCATGCAAACTTATACCATTGTCTAAAATCGCAGGTCTTGTGGCTTCTACGTTCTGCTATCTTCAATTCTTCCCACCACCGTATCACACAAGGTGAAAAGAATTGCGGATTCCATTTACAGTTCGCTGAAAAGGTGTATTGGGAACTGATCATCAAGAATTTGATATTTTGTTTTTTGTAGGTTGGGGACCATACGCATACTTCCAAGTGTTGGAGGCGGCGCGGTTGCAAGGAACCGAGAATGCCGCAACCTCCCCAAGTTATAATGGTGAAGAAGAAGAAGACGGCGGGTTTATGGGTTTGCATTTGGTGGATAATCCGAGTATGAGGAGAGAATAAGATGTAGAAACTGGTAGAGGCTGAGATGAATATACTCTGAAGCTGGGTTTGGTTGCTTCTTAGGACACTTTCTCTTCTCTTTAGATTCTTTGTTTGACCACTTGAGTAGATTTCTTTAAGATAAGTACTTTCGTTTGGGTTTTGGTTTTACCGGATAGGTCCCGGTTTAAGGAGTCCGGTCGTTGTATTGGTATCAGTTAAAGTTTATGCTTTTAATTTTGTTCAGTTCATATCAATCGAACTACAAGTTAAACCGATTTAATTTTTTATTAAAGTTGATTTATATCTCTCGATAAACCAAAAACTGAAATTGGTTTGGAACCAAATCGTAACTCGTATAGAACAAAACTACAATGAAATTATTAACTCAATTAATTTTCTTACAACGATGTGTATAGATTACTCAAATGATAAATGCGAGCTTATGTATGCGTTGTCTAATAGATTCATACGCTTAGCGAAAATCTTTTTTGATACAAAAAAAATATGGGAAAATTGCAAAAATGCCATTTTTTATGTGTACATTTGTAAAATGCTACCTAGGGGTGTTCATTTGTAAAAATACAACTAATTATAGATTTTTAACCCCTATATCTTAAAATTCTAAACACTAAAAAATGTTTTGACCCCTAAACCCCCATAAACCCTCGTAACTAAATCATAATAGAACATAATTAATCCAAACATAAATAATATAAAGAAAAAATAATTTTTAAAAAGTGACATTTTTATAAAGATTTCAAAAATGTGGCATTTTTGTAAAATGACACTTGAAAAATAGCATTTTTTAAAATTTCTCAAGAAATATCTTCTTAATACAATATTAGAATACGGCAAACTCTCTAATTAAATATGACATTTAAGTTATGTGTTCTTGTCTTATATTGCAAGTTTTGTAACGTCTGATTTTCAGAGTTATTAGAAAATAACTTCGTGGCAAATATACACAAAATAAGCCAACTTTTTAGATATAATATTTCTTGTTTCGGGTTGGAAATATTATATCCGACCGAAACTAACTGAAAAAACTATGGTTCGATTTGGTTAGAATGTAAAGTTGTCGAAGGAAGTCAAAGTAAACGAAGTGTTAATTCGGTTCATTTCTAGTGGTATTTTGGTTAATTGTAATTAGTCCGGATAATTTTGGTTAGTTCGAGTCGATTAACCAACGAAAATGAGATGCAACATTAGATTTTCACTACAAGAAAACACAGTTTTAGCGTCGGCAAAATTCGATGCTAAATCGACGCTAAAGTCCTTTAGCATCGAGTTAGCGTCGAATAACAATTCGACGCTAAACTGTTGACGCTAAACTGAATTCGACGCTAATTTAGCGTCGAATTACTTTCGACGCTAACTCGATGCTACATTTCGAAGCTAATTCGACGCTAAAATGACGCAAAATTAGCGTCGACTTAGCATCGACAGAATACTGAACCGATGCTAAATCGACACTACTTTAGCGTCGGAAAAATCGACGCTAAAACGATGCTATATTTTGATGCTAATTCGATGCTAATTTAGCATCGAAATAGCATCGGTTCCGTCTTATGTCGATGCTAAATCGACGCTACTTTTGCGTCATTTTAGCATCGAATTAGCATCGAACTATATGATTTTTTTTAAAAAAAATATTTGTAAATGAAAATATTTTTAATAAATTTCAAATTTTTTAAAAAATTAGAAAATTTTATATATAAATGCGAAAATAAAAACAGAAATTGTTTAAAAACACTGAAAATGCAAATAGAAATTATAATTTTAACGTTCGTCTCTTAAACTAATGTCGTCTCTATATTCATTCATCATAGCTTCGGCTTCTTCGTCGAACTGCGGTTGACCTCTAGCTGGAGCTGGCTGTGCAGGACGCGGTATCTGGGAGAGGGCAACAGCTAAAGTCGGGTTATCCACTACAATAATGTCCATCAGATTTGTCAATACCGTGAGTTGGCCTTGCATC